TGTGTGTGTGTGTGTGTGCCCAAGTAGAGATACAATGGGATTGAAAAGATGCCCTAGAACAGAATATTCCTTACAGGAGTAATACTTTGAAAAATAACATTTAAAAATGGTTGAACATACTTGCAACACCTCCAGAAATTTGACTTGGTACAATGTGAAAATAAATAATTGAATCAAATCTTCACCCAAATGACGTGGCCTCGAAGAGCCAGAGTCTGCTGCTGGTATGAGTTTCGCCATCCAGACGGGGGCTGATATTCAAGCACCATCCCCTCCTCCCTGCTGCCCGCTCCCCAGCACCCTTATACTCCACCTCAGCCATACCCAGAGTCTGTCTTATATCCGTTTTCTACATTTCTGGCAAGACCTTGCAGCAGACACATACACACATATATACGTGTGCTATGGGCACACACACATGCACACGCACACGCACACGCACACACACACTCACCACACACACAAAATTTCCCACTCAACCCAGATGCACCGAGTGAGCTGAATGACTTTCAGCCAACCACAATGGTGAAAGACAGAAGCACCAAACAGTCTTTGAAATGGGTCAGTTATTACAATTTGACTTTTTTTTATATTCTAATTTTCCTCTTTTGTTAATATTTTTAAAAAGCACAAATAAAAAATGAAGAATTCTTTCCAGATCAATTTAAGGCTTCCCACCAAATGGAAACAAAAGAGGCCTTACACAATATCACACGTGATAAATGTATACCTTTCACGGCCTTAAAATGACAGAACGAATCATTTTTGCCGGTCACTGATTTAAGTATTGTGCCTTTAAATTGATGTCATTCTTTTTGCTACTATGCTGAGTTTTATTATTACTGATGTTCTTTGATTACATAAATGGAAATCTCCTTTAATTTGCTTTAGAATTTCCTGTTCTTATAGAATTATTGGGGTGGCTTTTTGTTTTGTCCTGTTTTGCTTTACCCCAGGAAACAAATGCGATTCTTAGCAGTGAATGCTAAAATGGCACATAGTCAGCCTTCAAGTACCTTTTCCAGCCATCTGAGTTTCAAACAGCCAGCATTTTGGCTCCTAGAAGGCGCTGATAAGTTAGGGGCAAGGACAGGGGACAGGGAGAGAAACCAAAAAGAGGAGGGTTTTCTATGCCTTTGCTTTTGGTAAATTTGTTTTGTTCAATACAAATAATCGGATAGGAAGAATGATTGCTTTGCGGTTTTTTTGTTGGTTGGTTTTCGTTTTGTTTCTAGATCTGTTTCATTTGATTGTTTAATTTTTCCTCTCCTGGAGCAAAAGTCACCAGAGAGTTTTGCATGAGGAAACATGACAGTACTTAATGAAACTCAGCACCTAAGGGCATAAGGCAGTTGAAGGTTTTGTTTGTTTGTTTGTTTGTGTTTGTTTTGTTTTGTTTTGTTTTGTTCTTTCAATCAGCACCAATCCTGTAAATGATCTACACTTGGTGTAAGGTATAAAACTTTTTTTTTTTTTTCTTTTGGAGTGGAGACAACTCCTCCTTCTCCACCCTATGAACCATAGTGTGGGATTTTTTTCAATACTGTTTCTTATGTGTAAAAAACAAAAGAAAAGTTTTCGTTTTGTTTTTACTTACAAAACATAGAGAATATCTTTGTATACATACAGCGACTGGAAAGAAAGCTTATCTGAAGGGGTTGTGACTTATTCTTTTCTTTTTTTTTTTTTTTGTAGCATTGGTGGTGGTGGTTTTGTGTATTGGGGGAAGGGAGGGTTATATTTCTTGTGAGCGGTGTTTACTGCAAACCAAACTTAAGGTTCCCTTCTCAACTTGGGTCAAGATGCTCTTAGAGTGAAGACTCATACTGTAGCAACTCATAAAGGAGCGGTCCGTCTCGATACCGAATGCCTACTGCAGTGGGGGTGACATACTGCAGAATGTTAATAGTCCTTCTCAACCTCCTGTCTACAAAATGAGCATCCCAAGCTGGATATCTCTTTCTTGGCATGTCAATCTTAATGAGGGGCCCTTCTGGGTAGTAAGGACGCCCCGGCGGGATAGAGGGCCCCATGGGTCTCACTTGGAAAACGGGCAAGCAAGTGTCAGCCGTGAGATCCTCCTGTTGTTCCGTTACGGCTCTGGTAGGCGTGACCTGGGTCCCCCGGTACCCAGGGGTCTGAGGCGCCATGGGCTCAACATCGGGGGGCAAAGGGATGCCCCAGAGCAGCTCGGCACAACAGGAGCTGGCCAAAATCTTAACTCGCGGCCCCATGGGATGCAGCACACCGTAATATAAGAGCATCATTGCGATCCCAGCCACAAAGCTAATAAAGACACAACACAGTGCTGGCACCGCGTAGGAGTCAGTGGTCTCCGGGTTTCTGTAAAAATACCAAAGGAACGTCAAGGTAGCATTCTCGGTCAAGACTATCGTATAATATGCAAACATTCGATATCGAGTCCGCCCTTCCTTGACGTTAAACCAGCAGAAAATGTACACAATCCCTACCACCATGTTGAAGAGGATCTCCTCCCACTTGGACATGCAGAAGTCTGTTCCGCCATGGATGATCCAGAAGGCCATGGCACACCAGTGAACCACCACGAAGATCCCGAAGTAGAGCTGGAATATGGAAGCAAAGAGGGCAAAAGAGATAACTCTGGATGAGATGGTGAAGAGGCGCCAGAAGAATTGGATGAGGGCCCCTCTGTAGCTCATACTCTTCTTGTCGTCCCTGGAGTCCCGCAGCAGCTTGTGATAGGAGGCTAGCACCCAAGCCAGGGACATCAGGGAAGTCACAGAGGAGACACCTGCCGGAAAGACACAAACCCACACAGTCAAAACCTTGGACATCGAGCGCCGGGCAGGGCGGGGCTGCCAGCCGAGGAGACGCCCACACACACCGCAGTCTAAAGGAGGAGGGAGAAAGAAACACACAATCAGGAACTGGATCTTGAGGTCACCGCTGTTCCCTAACCTAGCAACTTTTGCGGTCTAGTTTTACTTTTCACAACCCAGTCCGGAACTCCTGGGGACCCACGACTCAAGAGTGAAGCTGAGGCTGACGTGCCTCGCCAAGGGAGCCGAGAACTGGGGCCACCATGGTGATCGACTGCATCTGCGATGGGCCGGGCGGCAGGTGTTCTGTTTTAAGGCATCATGAGCTTGCGGGGATCCTTGTTGCACATACATGTGTGGCCGGGGTCGGTGGCCCTGTCCCCAGCAGCCTGGTGGCTCTCAGAGGAGCCCACAGAAGGGATCACCGATGATGAAGCCCTTCGGCTTGCTCACTGCCCCAAGTTCCACCACTGTTCTCCTCTGGGAAAGCACTGGAGTCTCCATTGCTTTTTCATCAGCTCGCCCATGCCTCTGAACTAAGGCTTTTGCATTTAGCTTCTCCATCCCCTGCCTATGACCACCCTGAGATATCCTGCCTGTTTCGATGGTTGCCTTTCTCATTCATTCTTGTCTCTCTCATTCTTGTCCAATCTTTGTTGCTTTCTCCAACCCACCACTCTGCTCAAAGTTCTCTGAGGCCTTGGATTGGGAGGCCCATCCTTGTCTGGTCTCTGTCCTGACTCAGCAGCACTGTTGCTCATGCTTCAGGAATGCCTTTTCCGCTCACCATCCTCTGCTTGTCATTCCCTGCATTTCTCCTCGGCGGGCAAGTGAATGTGTCTGATCCCAAGTCATACTTCAATTGCTGTAGAGCAATTTTATTTATAAGGCTGCCTATTGGATTTCTGTAACTCAATCAAACTCAACACAATATATAGTTAGTGGAGTTTCTCCAAATCCACCCACAAGAAACCAATTATTAGGCAAGTATTACCATACGACCCCCTCTCAAACAAGATTCCCCATCCCCTCTCGACGCCCTCACGCATTTTCTCCGCTCCATCTGAAGCCTCTTTTGTTTTTCCTTTCTCTCCGGATTTCAGAACTAAATGCAACTCAATTCAGTTGGAGTCCTGAATACTGTTCCTTTGGCATCCATCTCCTTACAAGGTTCCCTAACCTCATACCAGAGCACAATTCCCCTATGACATTCTCCAGGCTGAAGTCAAAGTTACCTCATCAACCTCTCTCAGCTCAAAGGTCCAGGAGCCTGCTCATCAAGAAACTCATTCAACTGCCCCAGCCCTGCAGCCTTCGATTGGTCTTTCCCTGGGGCTCTGCTCATCATCCCACTCCCCTCCGAGCCCCCAGGGAGAGTCAAAGTCCCCTGTCATTTTACACTCTCCCTGCATTCACCTTCCTCACCCACCTCACTCACATACTCCTTCCAACATCTCACAGAGATGCTTGGGTTTACAGCTTGCAGAACGATATAGCGCAATAATAAAAACCATTATGTTGGCGTGAGCATAGAAAAACCTCCAGACTGTTAACTGTTACAATGAGTATGTATTGCTTTTGTAAACAATAGCAACCACTGTTGACAATAAACAGGGGAGAAACCATCCCAATTCCTCCATAGAAGCCAATCTTGAGAACACCTAATGAGTTTCCTCTCACCTTTCTGGAAAGTTCTGAACACGGTACTTGATGTGTCCTGCTCTGCCCTTTGTACACAAGGGGCATTTCCACCAGCACCTGCTGAGGCCACCTGCGCTCTGCAACCAAGTCACAGTCGTCATGTTAACCTAACTCTTGAGTTTGTGTTGTCTGGTGGTGGGGTGGGAAGGGAGGGGAACAGGTCCTCTTGGGAGTCAGATGATTTAGGCTGTGGGTTTCCAGAAGGCAGGGAATGTGCCATCATCTTGGTAGTCTGTGCCAGGCTTATTACCAATCCTGGAGCATCATCAGAAAGTTCCTCTTAAACATCTTTGTGACATCAGCCCTCTCCTAGTGAACTCATTTCTTGATGTTAATAATCTTGGTGGTACTGCTAACCTTTAATAATCAGATGGGAGTTCTACAGAAGCTGAATGGGAAGAAGACTTGATTTTTTTGGTTCCTTCTAATAAATCAAAATGTATTACTTCCCTGGTTCTAAGAAAAACACGAGTGCCAAGTTCATGAAGTAAGAAAAAGCAGCTTAGCTTTGCTGGAGCGTGGTCTAATTCAGGCTTATTTTTTTTTTAAAGATTTTATTTATTTATTTGAGAGAGAGAATGAGAGAGAGAGAGCATGAGAGGGGGAGGGTCAGAGGGAGAAGCAGACTCCCCGCTGAGCAGGGAGCCCGATGCGGGACTCGATCCCGGGACTCCAGGATCATGACCTGAGCCGAAGGCAGTCGCTTAACCAACTGAGCCACCCAGGCGCCCCTAATTCAGGCTTATTTTGATGTCTGCTTTTGAACAGGCTTGGCGGACAGAAGCAGGACAGCCCCTCAGCCTTCACTGTGCTGATCTCAATATTCTGTGTGTTGTGACATTCGCCTTGTCCATACCAAATACAGATAAACAGGAATTCATGTCCACCAATCACATAGCCATGCCAAGTACAGTTCTTCCTCATTATTCCATCTTCTGGGTTACCTATGACATTTCCAGATCTGTTCCTGTGGTTTTGAGAGCTGGTGTTCTGTTCCTGCCTCACCCTTCATGAAGTGTTATAGAAACTGCTTCCCTCGGAGCTGACCGGTACACTGCTTGTTTCTTGGTTAATGCTTCCGGAATTGCTCTCTAGAGTCCCGCATGAATGTTCCCCAAACATCATAAGACATTAATGCGGATTACAAGGGGGGCTTGGGACATAGTCACATGGAAGACAGATCTGAGGGCCCGGCTGATGCCCAGCCTCACTCTTACCTCTCTGCCTGTCTGTTCCCAACTTGGTATAGTGTAGATCACCAAATGGTATATCCACAGGAAGCTTCATGGACCATCCGCTTCAACCCACCCATTCAACAGGACGCAGAAGTACAGAGGCTTGGGTTCCTTGCCCAAGATTACCCTGAGGACCACTGACAATACAATTAGGCCCACGGTACAGCTCTCTGCCTGCCTGATCACATTGGTCCCGGCTCTCCATTCTTTCTGCACCCTGTCCCTTGTCAGCTTGGCTCTCCAGAGGCCTACCAGGTAGCACCTTTCCTGAGGTCATTTGTGATGAAGGCCATCAGCCTTCTCTAATGGCAAATGTCTGTTCTAACACCAAGTTGTTGGTCCCTGAGGGCCTTGAATGCCAGGCCACATCCTTGGCATTGTGCAAATGCTCCAAGTTAGAGGGAAAAGGGAGAGGGGAAACTTCTGACACCTGGCCCGTGTGCAGGATGCTCAGGGCAGAGGCCCTGCCCAAGACCACAAAGAGTGCATTTGTCTGGAGCCCCTTCTCCTCAGAGCTGGAGCAGGGTGAGCAGGGACAGGAAGGAACATGAGTGGGGACATAATGCCATGCTGAGCCTGCCCCACTCTCTCTGCCAGCAGCATCGATAGAGATGATCCTATGGGGCAGGGGGAATGTCCGGAGGTGGCTACTTTCTAATTCACCACATTCACCAAAGAATTCCTTGTTCTAAGCAAAGCTTTAGACAAAATTTTTTTCTTTGGGGGGTGGGTCCAGAGTTAGTGCTGCTGAAGAGCTGAGTACCTAGAGAGACCAGGAAAACCAGGCCCACTTTAGGATCCCATTAAGGAGTTGGGTTTCTCACTGGCTGCTCAACAGAGGGTAACACTTGCCCTCCAGGGGCTCAAGAACCAATGGAACAGGGCATTAGATACACTTGTTCTCAACTCACCTCTAAGAAACTTGTCTGGACCCCATCGATGACATTGGCACATTTGTTATGCTTGGTCAATGGATCAAATATCCTATGATTTGCCAACTTTGCATCATTTCCCTGGACAAAGCCTGTGGCCTCCCACACCCACAGGACTGTAAGTGCATCTCATCCTTGAAGGACTGTCAGCAGAAGGTGCTTTGGGGCAGCCAGCTAATTCTGGGGGCTCAACTGGGGCAGGGGAGGGAGAGTCCCAGACAGATGTATTCCTTAACAGTGTAGCTGACTATCCCAGAGAACACAGCATGATTCACTGAGCATGTACATGCATTATCTTATTTAGAAGAACCATGTGATGTAGGTACTTATTGCAGGCTGAACTGTGTCATTCTTCCCAAAAAAATTTCATGTGTTGAAGCCTTAATCCCTAGGGCCTCAGAATGGGACTATATTCGGAGACAAGGCCTTTAAAGAGGTGATTAAGTTAATTGATATCATTAGAGGGGTCCCTAATCCAATCTGACTTTTTTCTTATAAGAAAAGGGGATTTGGACACACAGAGATACCAAGGATGCATTCACACAGAGGAAAGACCATGTGAGGGCACATGGAGAAGGTGGCCATCTACAAGCCAAGGAGAGAGGCCTCCAGAGAAACCAATCCTGCCTCTACCTTGATCTTAGACTTCCAGCCTCTAGAATGGTGAAGAAACAAAGGCCTGTTTTTTAGCCACCCAGTCTGTGGTATTTTATCACAGCAGCCCAGCAAACTAGTATAGTGCTCTAATTCCATTTTTTAGAAGAAGAACCTTAAGATGTTTTTCAAAAATCATACGTCTGTCAAGAAGTAGAGTCAGGATTCAAACTCAGAGTCTGACTCCAGGGACCCTGAAAGTCACCGCTGTACTAACAGGCCCCCAGACATGGCCTTAGAAGAGCTGGGTGAAGGGAGAGGAAAAAAGGTTGAGGTACTCTGGGTACAAAGGATTTCAATTTTTTGCTAAGTGGACAGGGTATCTGAGAGAGGCCCTTGATTTTGGAGCTACAAACCAAATTTGCATTCTAGTCCACCTTCCTCAGGAGAGTAACATTCAAGCCACAAAGAAAGAGGTGACTCCGATAGAATTAATTGAGATCG